GGGCAGGGTCGAGGAGGTGGCGGCTGTTGTGCTGATGCTGGTGAGCCGGGCTGGGAGTTTTGTCAATGGGGCCGAGATTGTGGTCGATGGGGGGGGCACTGTTTTTTGAGGGGGGGGGGGCGCTGGGCTGTATACTTTTGCTTGGCACCCCGGAGTTGATCTCAACTTTGAGGTTAGCTTAGGGGAACAACGTACTTGACTTAGACTTCCTACCATTTTTAGGCCCTGCTGGATACAGTGCGTTTGAAAGTGATTTTTCAATCGGCTCTGAGTATGGTTCTGCCGAGACATCATGCAGAGCACGGTCCCTACCATACGTGCTGATTATCCAATACTAAAGTATAGCTAATATGCAGCTCGAGTAGCCCTCACGTAAGGTAGCTAGATGTGAGCTTGGAGAGGAGTGCCTTTCAAGATGAAGGTAGTGGTGCGGGCTCTCCGTGATGGATTTTACTGCCTACGCCTTGAATCAGGGAACCAGTAATGGGCAGAAAATTGACGGCATTGAACTCAATACGTTTATCTCGAACGTATTCGCCGTCACCAATGTAGCTAAGAATGGCACCGAAGGCTTTGAATCAATTGCCTGGTACTGTGTCAAAATCGATCACTTCATACGAATGTCACTCCCATGGTCCATCGTGACCTGAAAGACGCTGAGTGTCCTCGCATGCAGAGCTAAATACAGACTTAGTCTCATGGGAACACTTCGCGACATATTGCTCCCGGCCCTTCAACGGTCGTTAGCGTGAGAAACACAGCTGATGACTGCAGGACGTCACATGAAAGAAGGCCATCTTGTCGCTTTTCGCTGCACTCGAAATGGCATATTCACGTATCAAATTCAACACCTCGGCATCTCTATGCTCCCCACGTTTAAGACACCCAGATATGCATGCACCCCGCAGCAGCTAATGCACCCCGGATAGACGCTTTCTCCCAATCTCAAGCCACGTTCTGCTCGTCCCGAGGCACAACGGTCCTACCCCGCCATCGCACAACCTCAAGACCCCAACGCTGGACAAGCCGCTTTCCTTTTTTGGTGCCAGCTTGCGAGTCAGGCGGGCGATGCCACGCCCGTGGCTTACTGAGGTTCGCGATAGCTTCATGTCGCAACGACTAGATCACGATCTGCCAAGTGGAATAGTCGAGCAGCGAGGCTTTTTGTCCTCTATCCAGAAGGGTTGTGAAGATGCGATTGGAGGGAACGTCCTTGGCGAAAGATTTTCAAGAGCTTTCGAACTTGTCTCGTGGGCAGCATCAATACTGGAGAAAGTGTCGCTGTCTTGGGTCTTGTGAGAGGGAAGCACCGTCTTTGCGAGCTTCAGGATACCACGTGAGGGTGCTCAAGCAAGTTCGTCGTCTCCAAGATGTATAAATGAGAGAAGGACTTCGTGGGAGATTTACCTGAATCCCAAGACCCCCAAGCTCTTCATTCTACTTCTCTGTTGGCTAGCTCATTCACGAAACTTGTCATCACCTTTGCACTCTGATCACCCTTCACCATGAAGTTCCTCTCCATTGTCACTGTCCTGGTAACCCTCGCTGTTGCTCTCCCCGTCGAGCCAGCTGCCGAAGAGGCCGAGGTGCTTGTTTCGCGGAACGAGCTCGCCGTGCTTGAAGCCCGTCAGTCGAGCACCCGCAGTGAGCTTGAATCTGGCAGTTCTTCCAGGTGCCCTCGCGCCATCCTCATCTATGCCCGCGGCTCCACCGAGCCGGGCAACATGGTGAGCCCTTCTACCTCCTAGCAGAGAGGGATGTTTCTAATAAAGCCAAGGGAATCACTGCGGGCCCCACCCTCGCCTCAGCCCTGACGCGCGAGTATGGCTCAGCCGGCATCTGGATCCAGGGCGTCGGCGGCCCATACGGCGCCGAACTGTCCCCCAACTTCCTCCCCTCCGGCACGGACAGAGCCTCGATCAACGAGGCCAAGCGCCTCTTCACCCTTGCCAACACGAAGTGTCCCAACACGCCTATCGTTACTGGCGGTTACAGGTACGTCGTGGTTCCTAAGATTCGCTGTACAGGAAAGACGAGTGCCGACCATTAACACCTCGCAGTCAAGGCACCGCCGTCGTCGGCAACGCGCTGTCCGAGCTCAGCTCGGCCGTCCAGAACCAAGTCAAGGGTGCTGTGCTCTTCGGATACACCAAGAACCTGCAGAACCTGGGTCGTATCCCCAACTTCCCCACCGCCAAGACGGAGATTTACTGTGCCATCAGTGATGCTGTTTGCTGGGGCACGCTGTTCATCCTGCCCGCGCACTTTTCTTACAATGCTGATGCTGCTGGCGCGGCTCCCCGATTCCTCATCCGCCAGATCGTGCGTGGCTGAGATGGCCTGAAGCGGGCGTGCAGCGTCTCGACTGCGGCCTGAATCCAGTCGTTCTGACGCGGGATTGTTGCAAATGCTGGGCTCATGCGGCTCAGAAGGGTGCTGTACTTCTTGGCTCTGACGTACAGCTTATAGCTTGTCTGTCAGCGCCAATGGCCATGTTTCTGAGACCCCATAATCATTACAAAGCAGATGTCTCCGCATTGCGACTAAACCTCAATTGGCTGTGACGGGTAAGAAAAAGCATGGTGAACCATTGCTTATCATAGGCCAGTCTCTTACTTGCTGTGACACAACAGATGGTTTGGTCATTGCACTCTAATGTTGGTTCACGTTTAGAATATCAATCGTCGAACGTGTTTGTTGAATCGATTATGGCGTCCACCTCAGTTGATGGCGGGATGACTCAGCATATGTGCGAAGGTCTACCACTGACCAATGCGCCCTGATTCACGCTTAGAAGTTTTTTTCAAACTCTATCCAGAGCCTTCTTGCTCTGTTCTGTAGGGCGCCTCGGGGCCGCCGGCGACTTCGATCCCGGCGCAAGAGATGATTGAGCCGCATGCTTCATTGTACAGTCTTATTAAAAGCAATGCACATACTTGCTAGGGTTGTCCTTTATGGCGTCTATTTATCGATCAGTACAAAAGACTAGCAGCAAGTTCTTCGATTGAACCCCTCGCTGTCGAAACCCACTTACATCGAAATCTCAACCGAATATATCCATTTGGTGGCGCCGGGCACCTTTAAGCAACACACTTACCAGGCTCAAAGCATGTCCACGCTGAACGGAGCAGCTCGTCGTAAGACGACTCATCACACTATCGGCGTTCTTCAGGTACCTGGTGACGGCAACGAACTCGCTCAGAACAGCGATGCGCTCTCGGCTGCAGAACAGAAAAGGGCGCTGAAGAAAATGGACCTTCGGCTCGTCGTCTTCGTGGGCATCATGTACTGCTTTTCGGTCATTGGTCGATCAGCACTCGCTTCTGCCAGTGTCGCGGGGATGGCGGATGATCTCCAGCTCGTCGGTAACAGATTCGTGAGTTGAGGATGTTCTTGTGGAACCCAGAGTTGCTAATTCGTACAAGTCCGTGACTATCGTCGTATTCTTCGCCACATATATTCTCTTTCAACCCGTTTCGACCATCGTGGCAAGAACAATTGGGCCGCGGCTCTACTTTTCTGCCATTACACTGTCGAGCGGCCTTGTCGTCATTGGGATGGGCCATGCAAAGTCCTGGATAGACATGATCGTCATGAGATTGCTCCTTGGTGCATTGGATTCTGGCTTCTTTCCAAGCTGCCATTATCTCTTGAGTACCTGGTACACCAGAGGTTTTTTCTCTTCAGTCTCGCAAGAGTGACCTACGAAGCTAATGTTGACCAACAGCTGAGGTTGGATCTCGATTCTCGTGGTTTTACATTCTCGTCTCCGTGTCCTATGCTTTCGGGGGCCTTCTCGCCAGCGGGGTAACATTTTCCCTGTGTGATTCGCACAGATTAGAATGCTGACAAGCTCCAGCTCACAAGAATGGACGGCCTCGGGAACTTACGCGGATGGTCGTGGATCTTCATGATAGATGGCATCATCACCTGCCTGATTGGCCTGGCCGGCCTTTTTCTACTGGCTGAATTTCCCGACACGACAAAACCTTCACGACACTTTCTCTCAAGCCGCGAGCTCGCCTGGGTCAGATCGCGGGTCAATGCCGACCGTGGAGACGTCGCCATCTCGAAGCTCACTTTGAGAAAGCTCATGCGCGGCGGTCTTGACCCCAAGGTGTGGGCGTTCGCACTCATCTTCTTCAACAACGCCGTTGTCAACTTTGGTCTGTAATCCTTGGCGGTCTGGAAGCTCCGTCGCTAACAAGATCACAGCGCTGGCAAACTTCCTTCCCATCATTCTCCGGAAGAACATGGGCTTCAGCGTCGCCAAGTCCCAGGCCCTGGTCGCGCCTCCGTACGTTTTCGCCGCAATAGTCATGCATACAGTCGGCTGGCTGGGAGACCGATACCGCGTTCGCGGGCCCTTTCTCGTCGCCATGATGCTGCTGTCCATCACCGGCACATCGCTTATGGGCTTCCATCAGAGAACCGGGTTCCGCTACTCCGGCGTGTTTCTCACAGCAGCGGGAACGACGAGCGCTGTGCCGGTGACGATGGCGTACCAGGCGAACAACATCAGGGGCCAGTGGAAGCGGGCCTTCTCGAGTGCACTCGTCGTTGGCGTCTCCGGCTTTGGTGGTATTTTCGGGACCTTGGTGTTCAGGTGAGATCCAGCCATTCTGATGGGACATGTTAACGCGTGGGCTTGGGCTAATCAATTCAGATCGCAAGATGCGCCGGCGTATCTGCTGGGGCTGACGACGTGCTTGGCATGTGCGGTGCTTAACATCCTCATCGTGCTCAGTTTGACGATTTACTTCTACTTCGCAAATTTGAGGGCCGATAGAGGTGAGGTTGAGCTTGAGATATCAGAGGTGAGACGGCTCTTCAGGCGGGCGCAATTTCGGACGACTTGCTGACTAGGTGTTTGCAGGAAGTACGAACACAAGGATTTCGTCATACGCTTTAAGGCTATGTCAAGAGCCACACGCGACTGGGAACTCCATAGAATCGCCGGACACTGGTTTCAATCAATGCGCCTCACACTTCACGCTCTGACGATACGTACGCATTCGACTGCAGTGAATTTTCAACTCAATCAGCGTTTGCCTAGCGTTTGGTACCATGCAATCAGGACCCCTGTGCATGAAGTTTCCTAAACCCTTCACCACCAAAACCTACATCTTTCGACCCAAAACACCAAAACATCTCACCACACCCGCGCATCGCGTCATCACGATGAAGTGCCCCTCTCACCAGCCACAAGCCCTTCGCACGACCCACCTGCCCCGCCCCCGCGACAAACGCTCCGGTCCTGACGTCACTCGCGTCCTCACCACCATGCCGTCATCCACCCTTGCGATCTCATCGATGTGACATCAGCTACAGCAGCAGCACGTAACAAGCCGTATGCGTCTCAACAGCTTTCATGCCGTTCTATCAGTAAAGGTGTAGCGGCAGCAGCGAATGGCTGAGTCAGGATAAGGAAGGCCAGGAAGGAAAACAGCGGATCGACGACCAGTGTCCGTGGCTGTATTTAACTTTCGCAGCTGGCTGAGCTCTTTCCCTCTTCTCGTCATTACAAGACCACGTAGCTACCCCTCCATCAATTCAAACCAAGACTCCTCAAAATCGCAACCAAACCAAAACCTCTTCGTCGATACAAATCAAACCAAACATGCCTGAAGGTCGCCAGTCCCCCGAGCCCGAGAGGCAGTCTGGCAAGCAGCAGCAGTCCCCCCCCGGCTCCGGCCAGGGCACCGACAAGGCGGACAACAAGGACCAGGTCAACGCCGACCAGCTGAAGGTAAGTCCTACACACACGCACTTGATTGTTACGGACAGCGAGACTAACTGGTGCAGAACCTGTCTTCGAACCCCAAGGGTGCGCTTGATGACGCGCTGAAGGACAAGTTCAGCAAGACGGAGAAATGAACGAAGAGCATGGATAGTACATGCGGGAGATACGTAATGACTGTATGATTAAGCCCACGGAATCATGGGGCGGGCAATGGAATCGAGAGTTTGAAATCTTGCATTGTTGCGCTGTCGCTTGTGAACTTGATGTTTAAGGCAATCGGGGCTCGGGCGTCTGGATTTGGCTGGCGTTGCTGCACGTCGACCTTATTGGTAAGGTAAAGGATTGTTGGGTTTGGGAATATGCGCGAATTTGAGATGACCGACCGATCCAGGCGTGCTGGCAAAGAAGTTTTGCGAATATGTTCTGCGTCACGAAAATGTCCGCCGTCATTGACACAGGAGATCATATGGGTCGCCATTCAAATAAGGTCACTGGGAAAAAAGGTGGAGGAGATTCGTCGTGGTAGTTGAATTACTGTGGAGCTAAGACTTCGTCGATACTTCCTGTCGCTATCATCACACGCAAGACTCGTTTCGTAACGGATACCATCCAACGCCTGCGAAACCAATTCATTTCTCTTCAACAACGGACATCAATAGATCCTCTACGCCTTCTCGCCACCGGGCTTGGACAGGGGCACAGACGAGCTGTCGTCAGGCTGCGTCGGGGCGGCGGTACCGATCGTCTCGCCGGTCTGAGGGGGGACCGCCTTCTCCTTCTCCTTGCCAAAGATCTTCTCGAGGCCCGAGGCCTTGTAGGCACTGCCGCCGGACTGCTCCTTCTTGAGGTCGGCCAGACGACGGGCCTCGGTGTGAATGTCAGCGACCTGGCGCTGAGAATCTTCGTAAAACCTGACAATCTTCTGGCCAGTAGGCGAGCTGGCAGCCTGCTCAAAGTAGCTGCTGAGGCCGCCGAAGAGGCCCTGGGCGCGGGCGGAGATGCCGTAGGACTGGTCGGTGGCCTTGGCGCGATCGGTGGCGTGGTACTTCTGGTCGAGGCCCTGGAGGGTGTTGAGGAAGCGGGAGGAGATGCCATGCTGGCTGTCGAGCTCAATGGCGCGCTGCAGGGTGGCGTCGCCGACGACGTAGCCGTGAGCGAGGTACTCGGCGAAGATGCGGGTGCGGGGCTTCTCCTCCTGGGTGATCTCGTCCGTGTCGCGGTTGGCGTCCGTCTTGTGAAGTGGGAGCCGTCGTCGGAGGCGTCGCGCTGGCGCTGGTGACGCTGATGTGGGATGAGCCGAGCTTTGTGTTGTTCAGCAGAAGGGCGGTCTTGGCCGCTGTCTCCTTCTCAAAGGTGACGGTGGCCTCCTTCTCCTCACCGGCGGGGGTGACATCGAGGCTCGTGATCTTGCCGCAGAAGCTGAAGAAATCGCGGATCTCCTTGTCCTCGGTCGCCGAAGCGATGTTCTTCACGTGGACAGTGTTGGCAGTCATTGTGACAGTGATCGTTTTGTCGTAGAGGTGCTTGTGTTTGTGGTTTGTGGTTTGTGGTAGAGGTTGAGAGGTCTTGCCGGCGTGGGACGATGCAAGAGCGGGGTAATTAAAAGGTTTCAAGAGGGGGTATCAAGTTGGGCTGGTAGTTGAGAAGGGATGGGCAGCTGGCGTGGGATGGGTTCGAAGGAGTACTTAAAGGTTCAGGTGCTTGGGCCGGAATGTCACGAGCTCGAAAAGACGCGTGGGTTCACTTTGCTTCTATGCCAAGGCAGCGACAATAGCATGACAGGAAGGCGCGGGATATGGGGCAGACGGCGGCCTCTAGCTCCTGCCGACGTGTTTTCGGGTGACGATTGTTGGGGAGGGGCGACGTGGGTGCTGCTGCTCCCATTCGAGAGAGCAACGTCATCGCTGCGCCGATGATGGGATGTGGAGCGGGGCAATTGTGGCTGAGGACCTGCAGGCAGTCAGTCACGACCAAAGCCTCGAAGTACCTGTGAGCCCATTGTTGGCAGCGCGACTACCTACCCTTTTTCCTCACATCCACAGCCAACCCGTTGAGCTCTTCCCTGCGTGTCGTTCTTCGCCTCCCATCAATGGCCCGTGCACCGATCAGTCGAAAGCGAGGAGGTCGTCGACAAGCTGAGACCCTGAAGATCACCTCACCTTTCATGCAATTGGCATGTGATTCCCGACGCGGATTTCTCCAGCCTTCGCCGACTCCCCGCGATCTTTATCGTTCAAGATCTGCTATCATACCTGGTCCGCGATACCGACCACCATGCAGCCCACACCGTATCCTTTGTCAGCGCAGCAGCCTCCATCCCAGTATGTCAAGTCGACCACTGGCGCGTCATTCATTATGAGGACAAACTTGCTTCAGGCAACGGTGAAAGTAAGGTCGCAACCATCATGTTGCTAGATCAAACCATACCTGCCTAAGTATATTCGTGGGCTCGCGACAACCAACACCTATTCTCCATGATTGCCAAAGGACGCCTCGTTCAATGCCCGCATCACTTGCATCCGTTGGCTTTGTGGTAGCAGCTTAATGCCGGAGACACTGTATGTTACTGCAGCAAATAAATTCTCCAGCTACGACAAAAACCCGAGACCGAGCCTCTCGGTCTTCAGGCACGAAAAGGGATTCGAAACACCAAACTCAGCTATGCCGCTGAGCAGTGCGACCTGATATACATCACGCCTCTGCATTGATGAATGTTGATGAGACGAATAACGTTCATACACAATTCAGCAGAAAGCCATTCTCGACTGCCAGGTTGGTCGGTTGGAGTCTATGGATGGCTTAGAGACCTGCCCAAGCGCCCAAAGCAGAGAAACGATGTTGGGGAATACTGCGAACTGCCTGAAACGCAGATCACATCCGATTTCCCGGAATTACACAAGTTCCCTGCAGTACACAATGGTACCATACTCCCAACGCCATGGCCACGGCTCCGGGCAGGCTAGGTCGCGCATGGCGCACGTGTTGGAGCACCCTTTTGGCACCTCCATTCAACCTCATAATTAACCTTACATTTGAGGAAGCGCTAGTAACCACCGGCGGCCGGACAATCATCATGGTCGATGTAAACTTCGATTAAAATAACCACCGACCAGATCAGTATTTGCGTGTTCACAAGAACGCAAGTCAATCACAAGAAGCTTCAGTAGCCCGCCCGTAGGTCGGAGACTCGGACAAGTTTGTTCACCATCGTCTCAGCATCAGTCAGCGCCGCAGTCTTCGACTTCGCCCCGGCATATGCGCGACGTGACATCCAGGATCAAATTTTCAAGTCCTACCCCGGCATGGATGGAGCTTAGACTTTCCCGCCTCCTTATCCGCCCATTGAGCGGAACAATATCAGCCGAACAGGCCCTGTCCTAAACTCCGGTGGCCTGACCTATGCGACGAGCTTTGTCACTAGTACTGATTGTTGAGGTTCTTCATCAATTCCAGAGCCTCTTGGCTTATGCTCAATCATACCTGAAAAGACTTCTGATGCCTCAAGATTTCCTGCCAACTCGTGAGATTGGCCGGTTCCTTTGCCACAAACCATGCCTACGATCGTGGTAAGCAGCTTCTGGAGTCGGGGCGCAGCATCTTGAATCTTTCGATCACGAACCCCTTCCGCCCTCCAGCGAAGATCTTGATCATCCATCAAGGTGCCCTCATGTTATTAAACTACGCTTTTTCGTCTAGAAGCAGCACAGAAATCGACTCATGACTCAGGCACGACAAGGATCCCATGAGGGGTACCACGATAAGGTCGGGGGCGGCGGCGGGGATGCTGCACTGCCAAGCACGGTAACATGCCCGTACTTGGAAATGCCGGGAAGATCGCCGGTATCTGGGCCTCAATACCTATCGTCGGCCGAAATGTGGCAACTGCCGACAGCACGAAGCGATGCATTCAAGCCTGCTGTGTTCTTCGCCGTAGTCGGAGGGGCGGACAAAAAGTCATCAAGTCGGGGTATAAAAGCCATCGTGCAACAGTCGTGTTATTCGTTGATGGTGAGACCTCTCTCTATGTGCATCCAATTGCAAATAATGGCTTACCGGTTGCTGTCCTTGGCCCTCGCGGCCCCTCTTATCACGCTCTCCGCGGCTGAGAGCACATCTCGACGCTCTATCACGTTTCAGGGCCCGCTAGAAGTAGAGCATGGTGGTGCTCAGAACATCAATGTATCTTACCATGAGGATGTCGACGGTGAGCTTACGATCGTTTACGGCAACTGCGATATGACATCACTCGACGAGGCCCATCACCAGGTTGGCCGAACGCATGTTGGCAGACACCCTCATGCTAAACGACACGTCGACTGGCAAGCGCAGAGGCCAACCAAGTTTGTCTGGGTGGCACCCTCGAACGTTCCAGACGGATGTCTTCACGCCTTCGTGGACGGACAGCTCGCAGGGCAGTCGCAGGAGCTGCGGGCTAAGAAGCGCATGGTTCGTCGCAGACTGAGTTTCGCCGACGTCGCCGACCCCATGGGACCTTGGTTTGATGGCGTCGAATACCTGCAGCAAAAGCAGCCGGACGAAGTGTTCGTGGCGCAGGTCAAGGACAAGAAATTCGGCATTCTGGGAGCCGGAATCTCCGGTCTGTTCACAGCGGTACGCTTCCAACATAACCATACCAAGACAAGACCACATCGTCTGACCTACGCAGCTCATCCTCGACTCTGTCGGCATCCACAATTGGAAAATTCTCGAGTCCTCCCACCGTATCGGAGGCCGCATGCTGACGAGCTACTTGAATGGCACGAGCCCGGACGATGGCCAATACCACGAACTGGGTCCCATGCGTTTTGCAGACGAGATCACTGACCCTACCACGAATGAAACGTTCCCCATCATGGATCAGCGTATGATCTATCAAGTCGCCGATGTTCTCAACAAGATGAACGCAGGCAACGACTCGCTTCAAGTCAAGTTTATCGACTGGATCCAAACGGCCGCTAATACGCCCGTGTCGACCACGAAGCGCCGACCCGATGGCACATTCCCCGGCAGGACGGAGATCGCCACAAACCCTGCCTATTTTGAGCCCGCTCAATACTCCAACGCCACGGCTGTTGCTGAAGCTCAACAAGCGCTGGACGATTTCAAGGGACTCACTCCAGAGCGCATCAAGTTCTACGCTACCAACATTTTCCAAGCACACAAGCAGGCCGTGGAGCAGGGCATGTTTGACTTCTCCGAGGTCGAATACCTCCGCCACGTTATTGGTACCGATCTTAACGTTACAGATGAGACGACGCCTTCGCAGGTTGTGTGGCCCATGTGGGAGTACGAGACCGTGTACTTCATGGCCAAGAAGTGGAAGACCATCAAGGGCGGGCTCAGCCGTATGCCAGAAGCCTTCGCCCCGCTTGTGAAGGACCGTATTCAATTCGGAGCCAAGGTCCACGGCGTCAAGCACCACGCCGACAACAAGACGCTCACCATCTCGTATCGCCCGACCGGCAGCAACCCCCGCGAAGTTGTCTCCACCAGGGAATCATTTGACTACATCTTCAACAGTGTGCCCTTCAACCTTCTCCGCTTCTGGGAGCTGCCTCCTCACTCAAGCCTCATGCGCCGCGCCATCGACCGCACCGTCTTTGACGGCTCTGTCAAGGTTGCCATCCAGTACAAGACGCGCTTCTGGGAGCATCTCGAGCACCCCATCATCGGCGGCTGCGGTCGCGTCAATGTGCCCCTCATCGGCCAGATTTGCTACCCGTCATGGGACATCAACTCCACAGGCCCCGGTGTGCTGCTCGCGTCGTACGTCGCCTCGTATGACGCCACGGTCGCGTGCGCCATGTCCGACGAGGAGCACATTGCCTACATCCAGCGCGCCATGGTTGAAATCCACGGCCCCGCAGCCGAGGAGAACTGGACGGGTAACTGGGAGAGACACTGCTGGGAGCACGATGAGCATCACGCCGGGTCATGGGCCGTGCCCATCGTGCCGCAGCAGCAGCTGTACCTGCCGGCGTTCTTCCACACCGAGTTCAACACGGTCTTCATCGGCGAGCACACGAGCTACACGCACTCGTGGGTGTTCAGCGCGCTGGAGAGCGCAACGAGGGGCTCGGTGCAGATGCTGCTGGATCTGGGACTGGTCGACGAGGCGAAGGAGGTGACGAGGACGTGGATGGCGCGGTGGATCAGCGTGTAACTGCGGTGACCATGCGGAGAGAATCCTGCGCCTGTTTGCCGTCGCGGGCTTTGCGTAAAATCTGTATATGAGAACGATGCATACGATAGACATGATTGCTAGATTCCATATCGCTCGTGCTGAGTCTTGCGATTGTGTTTCGTGACGGGATGGCGAGGCGTGCCGGGGCTGATCGTGCACACAGATGCTGGGGGCGAAATGCTGGTACCTAACTTCTCGAGCGCTGAGCTGATGTTTCTCCAATCAGTCGCCGGTGGATGTCCCTTTCGAGAAGGGGTAGGCAACCCGCATTTGCCATAATTCGACTTTCTCGCCAAGGGACAGAACAGATGAACTGGTTTTGAAGAGCATCCCCTTTGTGCCTGCCTGCCTGCCAGTCGTAGTACTACATCAAGGACGCGACCCCACCCCCGCGCAGCCCAACACGGACGCGACGCGACTTGATCACCATATACCAGCAGACACCGGCCGGTCACAATATCTCCATCGTCGTCATTTTCCAGAGTAACAAGTACCTCAAGCCCGGGAACCAAGATGAGGAGCCTCCGATCCAACAGACAGGCCAGCCTCATCCTCACCGAATCCAACAGGTCCTCCCTCGACCGCTTCGTCCAGAACCAAACCGCCCCCTACAACAAAACAGCCACCCCCGGCCAGACCGTCTTCGACAAGGCCATGGCCGAGATTCGCAGCGGCCGCAAGACGTCCCACTGGGTCTGGTTCGTCTTCCCCCAGCTCGCGGGCCTCGGCGTCTCGGCGCTGAACCGCTACTTTGCCCTCGCGTCCGTCGACGAGGCGCGTCGCTACGCGGCGCACGCTGTGCTCGGGCCCCGTCTGCGCGAGGCTGTGGATGCTGTCTTGCGCAGCGAGAGACGGATATGGTGAGGCTGTTTGGGGAGACGGATTGGGTGAAGGTCCGGTCTTGTCTGACTTTGTTCGCGGCGGTGGGGGGCCGGGGGAGAGTGTTTTTCGGCGGGCTTGAGGGAGCGTTTGGTGTGAGGCGTGTTTGACTACGCTGAGCTGGTGAGAGAAGGGCGGAGTGATGGAACGGGATGGGCGGGTTTCTTTGAGCATGATAGCATGCCTGGGCGGTATTGGATAAATCGGATCCAGGCTGGTTGGGAGGAGTCACAAGGAATGCTGAATGTTCAAGCTGATGGGCTCAAGCCCTTCTCTGGGACAGAGCCTGCTCGTGGCAGATGAAGCAGACCTCCAGAGCGGCCACACCCAGGATGCCAGGTCAAGAATTCTTACAAAATCCAACGAAGGGATGGCGTTGACAGGCCGCATCAGCCATAAACACCAATTGGACCGAATCTTCATGGACACGTGCCACTTCTTCACGCTTTATAGAGAGAACGAGGCCATGATCTCTGTTGGGAGTGTCAATTCAGCAGGACGATGGAGGAACTTGCACGCAACCTACTTTCTAGGTCGAGTATGTCCTGGACGGCCTTGTCAAGTGGCTCTGGCGCGCTGTCGAGGATGTCTACAAGAGCTTTCGAGGCAGTGAGCTTGAGTAGGAGCAACGAGCCTGGCAGGAGAGGTGGCGTACATGCCATATTCTCTTGTTTCGTTGCTGCATCCCTCTGTCCGGGCGTATAGGGTTTGGCCAATACAATCTCTAAAGGGGCTGTCTTGACGGTAGTTTCGATGTGCGCAGCCCGGTTTTGCGTGGTCTCGATAGAATCGGCGCTATCAGGAAGCGCGATAGGAGGAGGATTTCCGGGCAAGTCCGTCTTTTGGCAAACGCTTCGCCGGACCGAACTGTGAGGGTCCTCGGCTGGAGAAGGGCCAGCATGAGAGGTAGTCTTGCGCACGTGCTGCAAATTTTGGCGTATTGTAGCTGCATCTTGTGGCGCACGATGAGGAGATTCTTCGAACTCAATGGTTTGGATCTCCTTGTCGATGCCGGCCCCAGCCGTCTGAGTCGTCCTGTCCATGGCGGCTTCCAATGTGTGCGTCTTCTTGCTGGTGCCGGCTTTGACCTCCCGTGCGCTGCCTCGAGTCTTGAAGTCATCGATCTTCTTTTCCTGGCGATCGAGCGTATCAATGAGTGTCGCCACAGCTTGACTCATGTGCGAACAAGCGGCAGTAACTGAGTTGAGCTCGTCGTTTGTTTTTGCCGTCAATTCCTTGATACTCGACGACGCAGTCAACGCTTGTCTAGCCATGGCGTCTCTGGCGAAGGCTGCTTGCGCGTCGATTTTGAGACCGACTTGTTCGAGGCGTGTTTCCACGGTGGACTTTAGTTCATGGAGTTGTTGTTGTACATGCTTGACATCGGCATTCAGCTGCTCAACCCTGGAATCCCCTTTTCTGTTTGCGTCAAGAGTGTTTGATTGAGCATCTGGGTCAAGTGTCAAACCGCTGTGCTGGGCGGTGGCGTAAGACGCAGCGGCTTTGCGGGATGCTTCTCCCTGGCTCGGCTGAGAAGAAGCCTTGCACCACGCGTCGTAGGTCTCCTGTCTGCGCTACAGGAAAGATGAGAATGTGAAGAGCAGAAGTCCGGTACGAATACGTACCTTGAACAGCAAAAGGAGCCTGTCGACAGTCGACAGAAGCGCTGCTTCGCATTTCGACAAGTTCGCCGGATCGTTGTTGCCATTCTTGATGTACGCCTGCCGACCGTCGATGTAGATGTAGAGAAACCATACGAAATGGCCCTGATCATCGGCATCGTCCGTGAAAAAGCTCAGTACCTTCCACCTGGGCTCCGTCTGCACCAGGGCGTCGATGACTTTGCACGCGAGCCACTCGTCCGGCAGCGGAGCGCCGTGGTCGGTGGCGAGACGAGGCTCGATGACTCTGATGCATGTCCTGAAGACGGTGTCGAGACACGCAGCGGTCCAGTCCTTGAGGTTGAACAGGTCAGCGTCGGACACATGCACCCATCCGTCGCAGAGGGGGTGGGCTTTCAGTGCAACCCAGATCGCGCGAAACTCGCGATCCAGGATGATCCATTCGGGAAAATGAAATCCGCGTTGGCGTAGCCGCTTCTGGGCAGCCATCAAGACGTTGTGTGATATATCAACCATGGTGGCGCAGAGTGCTCTGATAACCAAGGTGTCGCTCTGTACCGTGGAAACCTGATGCGTATTGAAGTGTTGAGTTAGGGCAGCTGACTGCTATTTCAAGGGCTTTCCCCAGGCGCACAGCTCGGCAGAATCATACCTACCAGAACAGTGGACTATCAAGTTTGCACTCTCAAGTTGGCCATGGGGGTTTATGAAGGTGATTTCAACGCGCCTTCCCAAGGTGATTGAGGGCTGCTGGACGAAAAGCGCGGGCCTATCTACTCCTGGCAACACCTATGTACTCCCAGTACAAAGGACAGACAAAGTGAGCCTCATTTTTTCCCCGTATCTCGCAATGTCAAACTATGCACTCGCATAGGGTGACAGTTGCATGATAAAGCTCGCGGTGTAGATGAGTGCTATGTTGGCTTTCTCAACTTGGTCGCTCATGATCATACATGTCCGGATGTGCTTGGCGAATCTCTACAAATTGAATTCTCAAGTCAATGACATTAGGCAGGAGCCCTGACGACTTCACCCACAGACCAAAAGTTCGTGATCATCGCTCCCTAAAAGCAAGTTCTCGAAAGAGAAAAACGGAGCAAAAATAAAAAAATGAGCTTCCATTGAAGCGACGTCAGGAATTGAGCCCAACGGGGGGCTCGAACCCCCAACCTTGAGATTAAGAGTCTCACGCTCTACCGATTGAGCTAGCCGGGCAGGCAGGTTGCTTTGTTGAATTTCGAGCTTCGGGGCGGGACTCATAGAGACAGCAGCTTTGTGGGATCTGGGGCTATTCAAGTGCGGGGTTTCTCCCGGCCATGGCACGTTCCCTCGCACTGATTGACACGGCAGATTGACATGTAGTTGACGTCGGGCGTTTCCGCCGCCCCCACCCTCTCCCGCAGGGGGGCTACAGAGCGCGGGCAGTGTGAGCTCGGTTGTGCTTACACCGTCACGCTCCGTCTCGCTTGGCTTGTCTCGAAAAGGAGAGGGCAACATAAGCATGTGGAGGAAAGGGAGGGAGGGGCAGATCATCGAGAGAAGGCGGGTGGCTTGCACGCGAAGCTTGATTTGTGTGTGCCTTATTACTGATCGAGAAGGGACATAAGTTACGATGCCGAAAGTTACGATGTCAAAAGTTACGAACGCCAATGAGGACGCCGCTAGCTGCGAGCCCAAGAGAAGACCTGCTCGTTAGCTTGATCCTTCGTTCTCGACACGGCCCAATCACCCGCATACCTAGCCGCGACCGGCATACGGCGCTGACTGAGGCCGTGGCACCGTTGGTCGGGGCTCGCCAATCTTGTCTGCAAGCGGTACGGCTTGACGGGCCAAGCAGCGGGCGGCAAGAGCAAGATTAGGGGAAGCAGAAAAAGAAGGACGAGGCCATTCAGTTAGGAGGGGGTTCGGGACCGTTTGACCGTGCATCGGAGGGCAGACCCAGTCGGGCGGGCGTACCGAAGAAATCCGGCCGACATGTCGATCTCTGCATGGGAAACGAGGAGCCGCCATTGGCTGTTTCTCCGCGTATTCCCAAAAGAGAAGACAACAGATGTATGCCGCTGGCACAGCCACGTCGTCAGGGTGCAGTCGAACGTCAGAGCCAGCACGGCGGATGAGTGAGTCGGTAGGGCTGAGGCCCCCTGATTCGCCCCCAAGATGATGGCACGTGACGGAGCTTGACTTCACTTGCATCGTTAGGGGTGGCCTCGAGAGAAAGAGAAAGAGTGAGACTGAGACTTGTATTAAAGCCGTGATGCCCCCCCCCCCTGGTGGAGTGTCCCGCGGGTGGTGGACTCGAGGGTCTGACACAGGTTAGCCCCCCCTCATGCTTGTTCGCGACGGGAGACTAGACACACAGGACCACCAGCAACAGACAGAGAGTGACCCACGACACCCGAAGCACCTCGTTCCCGCGCAGCCACTGCCGTCAGGTACCTAGGTATACAAAAGGAGCACAGCGAGGGACCATGAGAAGAGAGAAGACGATGAAACAGCGGCAGACGCACTCCAAATCCCGTAGAGGATGTCTCAATTGCAAGAAAAGACATGTCAAGTGCGACGAGCAAGGTCCGCCGTGTGCCAACTGCGTTGTGCGAAAAACGACGTGCTCCTACGGCCAGAGTCCGACCGCCTCCTCGGCCCAGCTCGACGCGCCCGCACATCTCGACCCGTCGTCATGTCTGGCCGTCGGTCTGCCGTTCGAAACCAGTCTGATTTTTTTTTTTCGTCGTCTCTCTCACCACCCCAGGTCTTGGCGGATGCACTCGCCGTGCGAAAACGTCCTTTCTCGTCGTCTCCCGAGCTCTTGTTCTTTGCCTTTATCTACGTTTGTTTGCTCTAGTTTTTTCTCTTGTACTGTTGGTAGA